TTTGGCTCTAACATAATTTAGAGCTCGAATTCGATATATGATTAAAAATAACTAGAAGGGGTTTGTAAAGGGGTAAGAAACCTATTCTGGATACATTTACGGAATTCTGTCCCAAAAGCCCCAGTTTGACCCTACTGATTGTAATCAATTAAAATCAGACAATTATAATCGATGTATATATAATTTAATCGATTTTATATATTATGATTATAATCAATTTTTATTTAAATCGATTACTATAATTTCATCGATAATAATCATTTAAAACAACTGGTTTTAAATTTTTCTAATGTAACCAAATGCTTTATAATTATTTTGGGCTTTCTAGTTTAATATTCGAATAACCAAATCACCTATCTCATGCATATATTAGTTCAAACATCTTTGATCCAAATATTCATTTCATTATTCATGCGAATTTAGCATCTCCAATTTATATCTACAAATTAATCAAATAAATCACCAAATAATATAATTAAACTAAAGATCTAAAAAGTATTTAAACTGTTACCTTATTGCTACCAAAAAGTTTTTAGATCTCTTCAATACTTATAATAAAATTGCTAGTAATTATTGTTGATATTATAATTAAAAATAATCAGTAATAAAATTATCCTTTTGTCTATAAATTAATTGAGAATTAATAAAATAAATACTTTCCCTAATGCCAACGTGTAGCACTTGCAGATCTATTCATTCCTCTGAAGAATTTATACTTAATGGTAGCAACTACAAAACTTGTTATAAATGTAGATTCGCAAGATCTAAAAAAAAAGTGAATCAGCCAGTAGCTCCAATATTGAAAACAATTCCATTGAAATAATTCCTATACAGGAAGTTAGTCACTCCAATATTGAAAACAATTCCATCGAAATAATTCCTATACAAGAAGTTAGTAGCTCCAATATTGAAAATAATTTCATTGAGATAATTCCTATACAAGAAGTTAGTCAATATATTATAAATACAATTGATGACTTAGAAGACTATGCTGAACTTTCTCTTGTCCTTCGTATTTAGCTTGATGAATCCATGATAAGTGATACTGATATAAATGTCAAAACCATAGCGAAATTAATAATTGATGAAATAGAAGAGGGAGATGGTTACAACTGGACGTATGTAATAAATAAATATATACTTATCTTATATTGTTTAATTATAGTTGCCGTCCAAATTACAATTTTTTAAAAAAAATTAAGATTGTTTTTTAAAATTATTATAACATATAACATGTATTTAATTATATACTAATTACCTGTAAATATAGAGCCACGACTGCACCTAACCTTTTAGCTTGTCATCATAATGTCAGAAATGCTTACTTTGCTTGCTCCCAAAGTTTAGAGCTTGAACGTGAACTTAAAGATTCGAATCGAAAAAGAACCATTCGTTATAATTGTGGTGGCAAAGTATCAATTAAAATTGATATACCAGCGGCAGAAGCAAAGATAACATTAAAGCATAAAATTTTGCATAATAAACCTATTGAGGTTGAAATGCCATCTGAAGTAAAACAAGAAATTAATAAGCACTTACACTTGAATCCTGTCAAATTAAGACAACATCTTCGAAAAAAATTTAATATATCCAATGTCACATCTAAGCAAATTCATTACTGGTGGTCCTATTTTACACAGCAATTCTATAAAAGTGACGAAAATCATATTGTGTCAGCACATATGTTTTTTACCAAACAAATTAATAATCATTGTACTTTATGTTTTCATCTTGATACGAGTAATACAACAGCTATCGGTTTCACAACATGCCTACTTGATAAATCTGATTACATGGAAATATACTGTGATGCCACGTATAAAACCTCCAAAGGGCGATTCGAGCTTTATGGAGTTGTTGGTAATGTTCAAGGTGTAGGTTTTGCATTAGCATACCTTATTTTAGATACGACAAAGGCTTCTAAAAATGAAAGCCAAGATGGATTACGAACTGAAGCACTTACAGGGTTTTTTCTTACTCTTCGTAATAAGGGTCTAAATCCAACTTTCTTTTACTCTGATAAAGATTTCGCTGAAATAACAGCTGCTAAAAATGTATGGCCCTTAATTGATATACAACTTTGCCTATGGCATCTAGAAAAAGCGATCAAAAATAAGCTTAAAAGTCGTAAAAAAAATCGAACGTATAAATTATAATTATGAAGAGGTTATAAAAGAATTTACCTTTGTCGATTCTTCTTTTATTCCAGACCTACAACATACAGATTATGAGTATAATATTGTTTGCCCCCCTGAGCTTCATATTACA